ACAAACAAACAAACAAACAAGCTGGCTAAAGGATGTTAGGTCTAGTTCATAAGATGATAGGAAGTTATCTTTCACTGAGTGAGAGTGGCAGTGATTCTCCAGGATTTCAGACTGGTATCTTTTTTAGACATATCAGAACTGGCCACGTGCTAAATCTTCCTCTGTGTGTGTGTGTGTGTGTGTGTGTGTGTGTGTGTGTATGTATACATACACACACACACATGCAAAGCAGAAGGTACCAGTGAGTTATAGCCCATATTGCATCTCAAGTAGTGAGGAAGACTGAGCCAAGACAGTTCTTCAGAAGACTGCAGAATTGTTCTTCCTGGACTGAGTATGTTTGAGTGCATGTGAGTGATATTGCAAAAATAACAACAACAACAAAAGAAATCATTTGTCATTTCAGCGATCGTAATATTGGAAAAGTATATTCTAAATCATCTTCCTTTTTGGATTATGTTAGAACTTCTTTGAAAAAGCTTGAACTAGATGAATCGAAGGTAAGTATCTGGTTATGAACTGAAATTCATACAATGAATAAACTGCAGATTATGTTATCTGAGGAATATTTGCTCACTTTTCACTTAATCTGCTATAATTAAAAAGTAAAATGACATGGATAAATGATACTAGAACAGCAATTACAGAAGATGTTGGAACAAAGCATTGGATGCCCCTATATCAATGCAACATGCCTTCTAATTTAGTGAGAATTTAAGTAAGCATTTACCAATATTGTTCATACAGTATGAGGTCTTTCTGTTCCTCTTCTCTGTCAAATCACAAGGAAACAGGTAAACCCACTTTGACAAGCAGCAGTAAACAAGAAACAGCTGCAGATGACATTTTGAAGGACTGGAAACTCCTCTTTTGGTTTAGCAGCCTGTAATGTGAATATGAGTTTTAGTACCATAATTAAACACGATCTTATTAAAAAGAGGGACATGCAAAATATATATGTTGGAATAAGCATTAATAAAGTAAGCTATCATACCAACAATTATTTCAGCAATGAGTTAATATATTTTGGTATAGCAAATTATACATGTGGCAATAGGTTTTGTCCTAAGTTCACTAATGAATATTACAGTATGAAAAAGAACATTTGTAAATAAAATTTGACTAAGAATTTTCATTGCATGAGTAAATCAACTTTTTGTTACCAATTGGAACATTGCGCTGCTTTGTGAAGATAAGATAGCTTCATTCTGCCATAAGCAAGATCTGAATATGAAGTTTCAGGGAAGCTGAGATTTATTGCCATGTATAGTGTGAACTTGACGGTAAAGGACTGATCTTTTAGAAAATTTGATGGTCTTCAGAGATATAATCTTGTAATATAGTATCTTCAGAGAGAAAGTCTTATAAACTAGTACGAAAGGAAGGAAGACGGAGGCTACTAGCAATCTAGTAGAGAAGGGGGGAGAGTGAGGTATTTTTATAAACATTAAATAAGCCTTAATGTTTTATGATGTCAATATTTGGTGTAATTGTACTATGGATGTTTTTACTGTTGATATATTGTATATTCTATAACCCTCCAAGAATCATTAGATCATTGCAGCGGATAAGTCAAATAAATACATAGTATCCGATATATGCAATTGTTAAGGGGAATGATCTGATTCATGGCAAAAAGCAAATTAATAATGGTTAATAAACCACTTGTTCAGCGACTGTTTGAAGTTACAATAGCGCTAATGAGTGGTGGTTATGAGCGGTCCTCGAAGTTCCAACTGCCCCAGCATCCTCGTGGTCATGTGATTGCAATCTGGGAGCTTGGCAACTGACTCACAATTATTATGGTTGTATTGCGAAGCCAGCAGGGAAGGTTGCAAATTGCTTGGGTAAGTCTCTCCACCTGTGCACCCTCCCTGAACCTTGCTGCGCTTGTGCTGCACCCCCCTGGCCACTCATGCATCCAGAGTCTGGTCATAGAATAGCTGCTATGCCATAAATGCATAGGTGAATAGGCGTGTCTTCTATTAAATTTGTAAAGCTGACCAATTCCATAATATCTCTAGGTAGCGTATATTATTAAAAATAGATTAAAATAATAATACTTTTAAAAAGCATCAAGAGAGAGCAAAACAGCACACTTTCTTACACAAAACTTTCTCCCAAGGGAACCTTTTACAAGACAGTTCTATAATCAGGATACTTGTCACTGAGAAGGCCTTACCACTGAGCACTACACTGTGAGCCTTACCTACCAGTGGGATCAGAACCATAGTTTTCCAACCTGATTGATTGCATGAATATGTGGGCAGCTGTTTAGAGCTACATAGACTAATGTTAACATTTTAATTTGGACCTGATAGGTCATGGTTGACTGATGCAGCATTTGGAAAAACCAGTGTTGTGTAGTCCCGTTTAGCCATATTACCTAAGAGGGCAGCTTCATTCCATATCAGTTGCAGCTTCTTAATCATCAGCAAGGGTGGCTCCACGTAGAGTGCATTGCAGTAATTCAAATGATAAGTGAATAGGCATGAATGCTGAGACTAGGAAATGGGAGTGAGTCAGAGTATCATATTGGGTATATGCCTATCAAGAATTATTCATCATGATAGTTCAGTGAAATTTCTATATTCAGAAGTAATATGCCTCTAAATTACCAGGTGACATACAGCAAACATTTTGCATCTTAGATCTATAGCACTTTCAGAAATAGGTCAGTAAAATTTATGCGGATTTTTCATTCACATCATTGCAGAAGATTCACTAATAAGTCTGTTGATTGAAATGCATTTTAATATCTTTGCCACTTTTTATATCACCAGGAAGTTATTGTTATATGTACTAGACTGAGTAGACATTAGTGCTGGCGTTTTAACAGATTTGTGTCTATATGCTTATAATCTGAATATCAATTCAGACTAAGGATCTTCAATTAAAGTTATTTCAATTTTATTAGGGGAAGTTATGGTTACTTGAAAAGGAGAGTAGTACTGTATTACTACTACAGAAAGGAAACTGAAGTGCTTTGAGGCTTTCTAAAGTGCTAAAGCCCTGACAATCAAGATTCAAGAACTTTGGAAAATGAAAAATGTACAATATTCTTCCAGAAATGGGTGCTTGAACAACAGTTACAATAATAATAAAACATACTTTAAAGACTAACAAGCAACTATGCTGTACTTTAAAGTGGAGAAAAGAGTTTTAATGGAAAAGAATAATAAGTTGAAAAAATCAAGCCAGATAAAATAAACATAGGCTAAGGGAGAATTAGAAAAAATCATTACTTAAGGATGCGTGTACCATACAAACATGAGGAAAATCCTGATAAATAGACTAAACATTTATCTTGTCCAAATTAAATGCTTATGAGAAAACCATGACCATAGCCTGGAGACAGTATCCTTCTCCTGTTGTTGCTCTTCACACATACTGCCTCTGATCCTGAAAATAGTATGTAGTCATCATGACTATTATTAGTCACTGAGAATTCACCAAAATATTTAATTCCATTTTTAAGCCATTTAAATGAATTATATTTTTAATTTTGTATTGTTTAAAGAATTTCCCTTTCTATATGAAATGACAATTTCAAGATCACCATGTGTGATGGAATGGAATTATGAAGGCCAGGCTCAGGGAGATAAGCATTTTCTTAGTTCCCATTAGTTGCTTGTTAGTCTTTAAAGTATGTTTTATAGTTGCTTGTTAGTCTTTAAAGTATGTTTTATAGTTGCTTGTTAGTCTTTAAAGTATGTTTTAAATGGAATTATGAAGGCCAGGCTCAGGGAGATAAGCATTTTCTTAGCTCGCCGCAGGAGCATGGGAACTAAGAAAATGCTTATCTCCCTGAGCCTGGCCTTCATAATTCCATTCCATCACACCATGTGCATATTGATCATGATTAGATGACAATCTTGTTCATGATTGCCTTTCATTCAAGAGCTCGTAGTGGCATACATATTGCTCACTCTTCCTATTTTCCCCCATAGAAACAATTCTGTGAGGTAAATTGTGGCCAAATATGGACTAGGAAACCTGGGTTTCCCCACTCCTCAACCATTAAACCACACTAGAACATTTGTGTTCCTAATAGAAATACTTCAAAATTGGATGAGACCTCGGAAAGATAAAATTTAGTTGATAGCTCTAGCTTGTACAGGACTCCAAGAGAGACTTCTGGCAACTTTTCAGCTCAGGAAGTGTCTCTATAAGTGAGATCACAGTTTGCAAAATACTTTTATAATTCCTTTCCCCTATTACTACCTCTTTCCCTTGTAGTATGTCCAGGGAGAATCTCCAAGCAGCAATAACTTAGCTTCTTCTAATACGTGGTGTATCCTGTTAACTCTGATGTTTCTCATTTTGAAGCACTAACATGATAAATTGTGGATTTGGACAATGCTGCTGTGTAGAGTTGTACAAGAAATTGTAAATGACATCTTTATTGCTTTTATACAGACATAGAGTGTCATAAAACATTTAAAGTATCTAAAATAATCTTTCTGTACCTGTTGATAGCACTATCTCATCCTTGCATTGAGCTCTCTCAGTTCTATCTGTGTTTTATAAATATATTGCTTCCAGTGTGGAATCAAAACACAGGACACAAATGCAAAACAATCAAAGCTTCACTGCAGGGTTTATTAGGCAGTATGTACTGGAGGGGGATCCTACCAAAGGTTAGTGGAGACCCTCCCTTATAGGCAAAACGGATGTCCTGATATTTGTACAGTTCTACAAGAAGGAGAAGGGAAAAGAATGCATACGTATACATATTCATATGATGATGCAGGCATACCTAAATGAGCAATACTTAAGTTACTATCTGCCCCTGTTCTTGTTTGCTATCTCCAAGGATAGCAATAGTGTAAGAGAGGAAGAAACAAATTGGTTCAAGGTGCCAACTGCCAGGAAGAAGGCATCCTCCCTTATGTTGCTATGGGGATGTTTGTGATAAGGAGTTTACAACCAGCCTAGTTCACACCAGTTTCAAGGATGCTGCACCTTCCTTTATGTTTCAATTTTATTAAGGCAATCCCATTCATCTGAGGCATCTAAAAACTTGCTTCTTTTGCCCAGAGATTCACCCCAAGATATATTTTCCTCACACCAAGACTACACATTTTCCTAACATAATGGACGCTAATGTGCCCATAGTTATTAACTTTTTGCTGGCCCTCTCTTACAGCCTATTTGTATTAAGTATGATACTTACAACCTTTTTGCCAGAGAGACAAGTCACCATATGATCCATAAATGTATTTATTTTCCAACCCGTTTGAATTGTTACTAATATACACAGATAGGATCACTTGTTCATAGTGAAAATTGATATACCTTGAGCCTTAACAATATTTAGCTGAAGTGCATATAACAGAGATGGCCATATACTCTTACACTTCACACCTATACTTAGTTTTAATGTATATTTTTAAAAATGTCTATCTCCACAAATAAAAGTATCTATAATTTGAATTCCTGATAAAAGAGCAGATTCTGAGAGATGTAATTTATACATTTAATTTAAATAATGATAGGAGGTTAGTATTCCAGGAATATTGGAATACTTGTTAGGAGAACCAGTATTCTTGAATGAATAGGTTCCTTCTGAAAGGTAATTGTTCTCTTTATGGGAATGGGGCCTCCTTTTCCAAAGAAACTTTTTCTCTGCAATAGACAGAAACAATACGTCAGCTGTAAAAACTTGTAAGCCATTAAATTAAAAATCTGACAAAGGAACATTCATGGAATAGATGAGATCTCAGGGAGGGGAATTTCTTTATCTTCCATTTATTTGTCTGCTTACTCAGCAATAACAATGGCTTTTATTAGGTACGTGAGATACAAATTGCCCTTACACCAGGGATAAGCTTTATATCTATTTTCTTCAATCTGGGTTCTGCACAGTGTTTTATATACACTTTCATATACACTTGCAGAACTAATTAAAGAGAAACAGTTGAAAAATAGTTTTTTAAAAAAAACAAACCTTCAATTTCTGTTAGTAAAATTTTCTTAAATAGCAGTAGTACAAGTCTATCAATAATTTACTCAGATGTAAACCTGGTCAAATTCAGTGGAATTTATTCTCAAGTAAACTTTGGTATGAAATTATTTGCAGCTGTTCAGAATTTGGTTTGCCTGCTTCTTATTAGCTTGAGTTTTAATACATACACATAATCTTAAACTATAATAAGCATTTCAGTAAAAATATTTATCAGGCATTTGTGGACAGGGCAATATAGTTCAGCTGTCAAATGAGATTATGAAAGGCTGATAGCGTATTTGTAAAAACTTTTATTTATGCAATATTTAAAGGATAACTGTACTTTAAATATAAACTAACATGCAATGTTCATGATCCCACTGCCAAATTTCAGTTTAATCTGACAGTTTTAACAGCTGTAATAGCTATAAGAATCACTGACAAACTACAGACTTCACTTTAAAATAAGCAAACAGAAAATTTAGTAAGGTGTTGGAGAAGAAGGAACAAGTCTGTGGCAGATAAACATTCACGATCAAATAAGCATGGAGTTTCATTATCAGTATTTCTTCACTGTCAAGAGTTGATGACCCCTTTTATGTGAACATATGCATAGCAAGTCCTTGATAAAAATTGCATGTAGCAATTGTATTTATATTCTAAAGTTTTAATCATTTAGAGATACAAGGTTCTCCTTCAGTCCTTCAGAAGATGTTATATGGTTGCATGAAAAGTTCGTTCATTGAGGTTCACATCTGCTGATTTAGGCATAGTGGCCAGTTCTTGGATGCCCAAAAAGAATGGATTCAGTAAGCATGTGCCTGCCTTTCTGTGTAAGTTGTTATTCCCTGTCCCTCCATGTTTGAGCAGATCATTGATATCTAAAATATGGATGATATAAAGCATGGATCATTTGCTACTAACCTAGAAACTTGCTTTAAAATGATAATTTGCAGACAAAATTGCTGGTACAAATTAGGAAATGGAGGTGGAGCAGCAGCATATGCTTTGACTGTTATTACTGGATCAATACATGAAAGCTTTTTGCTTTTTTCCTTCAATTCTTTGCTTTTACCTTTATGTTTTGAAACTCAGTCACTGGAAAGGAGTTTCAAAACTATACAACCATATACACAGAATATTCATATGCCATCTTCCCATTTTCAACTGCCTTCATATTTAGTTCAGTTTCCTGCAGAAGGTGCTGGACTGAGGTAGTATTTCTGTTTGAATTTTATTTCTATGTTCTTAGTTATTAACTATCCAACCATATATATGAGTTACCTGCAAATTTGACGATCATTCTCTTGGCTTCTTTATCAAAATCAGCTTAACAGTGCTGAAGAATACAAGGCCTTAGACAGAAACATGGAGCACCTCACCTGGTACCACTCTAGTTTTATGATGAATCACTGACAAGGACTCTTTGAGTACAGTTTTGAATCAAGCTAGATATCCATTTAGCTATTGTGCTATATAACCCTGATGTACCTAATTTGCTAATCAGAATGTCATAGAACACTTTGTTAAATGCATTACTGAAAACAAAGCATATTACAAATACAGCTTTCTTACCTTCTTACCAAGAAGGTACCTGACTTTTTTAAAGACAAGACACTAAGACTTGACAAAGTTGCACCGATTTATAGTAATTTCTGCATGTTTTAAAGCTGTTTACAGATTAATGTCTTCACGATTTCATCAAATATATTTTCAGATACTGATATCACTGTTTTTTTTTTTTTACACTTTAAATATAGTTCCCTATGTATTGTTATGGGTGTTTGAGAAAAGTCTGAAAAGTCATTATAATAAATTAGAAAATGTTGATTGCAAAATAATTGTTTTGTTTTTGAAGTGTTTTTAATTATAACAATTTTAGTATGTGCCTCAGGTAAATTTAAATTGCCATCATCAATGTTCTTGCTGTTTCAGATTTCAGATAGCCTTGCACTGGAATACCTTGAAAAATACAAGCACAGGATGAATGAACTGGAAGCTTTTAATATGGTAACAATGAAGTATTGGAACGTTTTTGCTAGGCCATGGCATGATATTTAACACAGTTGTGTTAATATTTTATGATGAAGTAGATCAGTTTGTGTTGTGATATTTACTGTAAAGAAGGGAACAAACTAAATATCCTTTAACTAGGAGTGTATTTTGTTCCAAAGTTGTATTAACTCTCAGTGAGAACATATGGAGATTCTTTTTCAAGTCAAATAAGTATAAGAACTGTTGGACTGCCTTTGGACCCACCTTGGCCTTTCTACATTCTGTTTAATACATTACTTGGTTCCACTTTTAACAAAATTGCTGCCACTAAGTGTCTTGCATGCTGAGTTACACCTCAAAGGTACTAAGTAACAGATGCATACTTAATACATTCCATAGACTTTGATCAAGATGATACTGCTTTTTTTGAAGATGTCCAGTAGAATGGAATTGGCAAGATAATACACTGGGGTTTGTTTGTTTGTTTGTTTGTTTATTTATTTATTTATTGGAAGATGAATATTCCATGTTCTTCAATAGTTTTAGTAGGTAAATGTAGCACATTTCTGTACAGTAGTAAAACTATAAATGCCAAAAGTGATTTCAGAAATCTTCATGAGACAAAAATATTGTAGATATTTTGATGTGCATTCACAACATAATTGCACAACATTTACTTGATCATTTTAAATAGCTAATACTTGGTCATGGACGAATCCTGATTTACCAAATATATCTTTCTGACAGCAGTTAAAATGTTTTGGCCTAGCCACTTTGAAAAACCTGATTACTAGGGCTATCTCTCTGGAGGTTTGATAAAAAGGTCATTCAGTTGACTTTCCAGATCAAATAAACTTTTCAAATCTCATTGATTTAAACTGAATTATCAAGCTGGATGCCTCAGGATCTATTTGATAATATGAAAAGTCTTTTATCTATTTGTAAAAGCCTTTTATTAAATAGACTTGGTTTTATGAATTAAAATAAACTCAACAATCCAAATGAGATCAACAATTTGAACTGACTGGTGTGGGTCTTCCGGGCTGTGTGGCCGTGTTCTTGAAGTTTTGTTTCCTAACGTT